AGCTGCCTACTGTTTCCTGCTCTATTGAAGTCTGGGATTTTCTTAGTGTTGATTCTCAGGTTTGACTTATATTGTTCTCCTTTATGCCCTCCTTAAAGTTTGATATTCATATTTGTATTTTCTTGAACTTAAAGTTATGATTTTTTAAATAATGCAGATGTATATTTTCTCAAATTCATTATCCATTCTCGAGACTCTTTCAGGTGAACTGTGTATCTTAGCAGTGGATTTTCGTCTATACAATAATATTATATTTCTTAAAGTTTCAAACTGGTTTTTGGATTTCAGTTGACCTGCATGACACAGCTCGTGAAACCTATAAAGAATATATGGATAACATAGGGCCAGTAATTGATCCATTATCCTCCGAAAGAGAAAATTTGAGTAATAAAAATAAAGAGTCTGCATTACTAATCAAGGGTGGTCATGTTGATGATGGAGCAAGATTCAAAACAAAAGGTTCAGCTCTTTCTCCACCAAAAAAGCCTGGAAAGGGGTTTGAAAAGGCTTCTGAGGATTCCAGTAGTGACTCTGACGATCCAGAGCAAAAGAAGCCACTCTTGACCAGAAAATTGGAGAAAACTGTACAAAGTGATAAGGTAGCTTTATGTGAATCTGGGTCTATGGATGCTTCCATTGAACTAGCCCTTCCTAGTGATGTAAGTCTCAGTCACTATTTACTTGGCGTATTTTCTTTGTTGAGTTCAACAATGGAACAGAATCCAGTTATAGATAATGCTTGATGAATTTTTTATTCAGATATGGACACATCATTTCCAACTTCCACGTTCTCGTGGTCTGTCTGTAATTTTGCATGTTTATGATCTATAGCGGTTGTCTAATTTTATTTCTTCATGCAGTGGGTGCCACCAAATCTAAGTGTTCCCATATTGGATTTAGTTGATGTCATTTTTCAGCTTAAAGATGGTGGATGGATCAGGTATTATTCGTGGACAACCTGTACTAATCTGAAGTAGGTTGCTTGTATATTAATATTTTACCCTAATTACCTCTAGCTATCTTGGCTCATATAAACTTTGAGTGAATTCAGGAGAAAGGCTTTCTGGGTGGCTAAACAAGTTTTGCAATTGGGAATGGGCGATGCCTTCGATGATTGGTTGATTGGGAAAATCCAGCTTCTGCGTCGGGGACCAGTTGTTGCTGCTGGGATCAAACGGTTGGAGCAGGTATCTCATTGATGGCCTGGTAGGCTGGTAGTTGAGATAAACACTTCTACACATATCTTGTTGACTGCCTTTTCACTCAACTTTCTGATCATCTCACAAGTATTATTTTAAGAGTATAATGTTAATTAAATTACTAATTCTAGAGCTATGGAACTAGGAGTGAATTGTCAAAACTTGACTTTTTAGAAAGGATAACAAAATTCATATGTTCTCAAGAAAATTTATTATTGATTTATGATAGTGGTAATCCATTGTCTGTATGGTACACTTAGATACTTTGGCCCGATGGAATATTTATAACAAAGCACCCAAAGCGTCAGCGACCTGCACCTTCTGCAAGCCCAACCCATGGATCTTCTCAGGACCAATCTACTCCATTTTCTTCACCAAAAACAGATGAATTGCCGAAGATGCATCAGAAGGAAGCTGAACTGAAAGCAAAATTTGTATATGAACTAATGCTTGGTAATATTTATTTGTTTGCCTAACCAGGCATCATCTTATTGCTGTACTTTAGAAGTGGGGAGGAAAAATCTCTGAGATTTTAATCACTTTTATGAGAATCTTTTGCAGATAAGGCACCGGCTCCTATTGTTGGCCTTGTTGGACACAAGGAATATGAACAGTGTGCCAAGGACCTCTACTATTTCATTCAGGTGATTCTCATTTATTTTCAATTATCCCAAGAGCAAAAATATGCGCACACAAACACATGATTATGTCATGGCTCTATAATTCCAATTAGATTTATTGTTAGATGAGCTGCACATGCTAATTCAACACTTTGTTGTCCAATTTTCATCGATAGCCAATAATGACCTCATACAATTAAGCACAGTGTTATTATTTTGGAAATAAAAACATCTGATAAAATTGCGAGTAGAGCTTCTCTTTGGTCTTCTACTTGAATGAATCCCTGGTGGAACCAGTTAGAATTGGAGATTGTAGAAATATTTTCTATCTAGCTTATATCCTAGTCTAGCTAGGAATAATTTTTTTCGCTTTCAGTAATAGGATTTTCCTTTTCCTATAGATAGGATTATACTTGTATGTACAGTATTAATTATGGAATAAATGGATTCAGCCTAAATTCCGTTCTTTCATTGAAGTGAGAGATTGGGTTGTTGGGGATAGTGCTCTTTTATAAGTCAGTAAAATAAGAATGACGGTGGGGTTATAATAGAAGATCACGTTGTTCAAAATAATGAATATTTCTAATTATGTAGGTCGATTATTAAAGACAGAAGATTGGAAAGGATGCAAAGTTGGAGAAAATGGATTGTTACAGTACAAAATGTCAGTTCACTAAAGAGCATCAGAAAGATACCTAACAAGTGAATAAGGAATTCTACAGAACAACTCTTAGATTATCTATGCTTTATCAAATTAAGTGAAGGATCACCTGAGGCCAAAATGACGTAAGACGAACACAAGGCAAGAATTTTAAGATAGATAAGTAGTTATACTATAATGGCATGAAATTAAAAATGAGGATATATGCCAGAAGTTGAGATGAAACTGATCACGCCATCATGGATAAATTATTAGCCCCGAGGCCCCCGACAGAAAAAGTTAGAAGAGGGAAAGATTACAAAAACCAACAGGGCATGATAGGCAAAAAATTGATTTCATCAAATCTCTCAGTAAATGCATCGCTTAGTTGACTGCAGCTGTGCAAATAAATTCAGGGAACCATCGTCAAGTTTATTGAGAAGAGGGTTCACAGGGTAGGGAGATTGTGATCATTCTTTGCGTTGATTGTGTATATTTGCAAATAGCGTGCTTTGGGTTTTGCAGTTTCTGTTTGGAACCATAACTAATGGATGAACCTTTCACTTTTTCTTGTAGTCTTCTGTTTGTATGAAGCAACTAGCTTTTAATCTTCTTGAGATGCTGCTCTTGTCACTATTTCCAGAGCTTGATTATGTCTTCAGACAGTTAGAAGACGAGAAAGAAAAGTTCGGGAAACTCTAGCCGAGTTGATTTTTTTTTTTTTTACGGGTTTTCTGGTTCAATGAGATTTTTAGTTCTTATACTGTTCATTTGTTTTTTGGTGACATTCTTTGTGAAATGTATATGGATGTAAAGTTATGAAGCCAATTTCATTGGTCGGAAAATAGGATTTATTTTCACTTTTCTATCGATATCTTAAAGAAATTTCATCTTCATGTCGGAAGTTGATAAACTGACAATTCTTCGTTTAGTTGAGAAGCAGATTTGATTTTGTTTGGTTGAGATGATTCATTTAATTTCAATATTATTATATTTCAACTTACTGATTGTGGTATGAAGCTAATTTGTTGACGAATGAAGATGTTGTTCCTCTTTAAACCATCACATTTTTGTTTGTCAATTCTGAAATTTTGGCAGCAGCTTTCTCTCTTTTATAAAATCATCTTATTTTTTGATGATTCTTAAGAGTTACAGTAAAACTAAAAAGGACGAGATGTCTCGCAAATTCGACAAGAATTTAGGAAAATTGTAAGAATATATAACTTATACAGCAATAATTTCAAAATTAAAACTGAAACCTTGACTTTGAGGTCAATTAGTATATAAGGTGATAAAAAGGAGCATCCAACCAATTCACTTGTAACTGTTTGGGCTTAATTTTAATTTTAATGCATTTTTTCTTTATTTTATTTCTCAATAAAATAATATTATATGTAAATTTAAAATTTTTCCTTTTTTCTCAACTACACGTTCTTTAAAAAATCACTATTCCAAAATACATTTTTCTCAAAACTCATTAAAATGGAGCCCACACAAGGGCTAATCAATAAAAAACGATAACATGTGAACTACTCTACTCTCCTTTTGAAAAAACGATGTAACAAGGGAGAGCCATTTCTTTCTTATATAAGTAAACAATGATAAAATATTTCAAGATCCCTTCATGTGGAGCATAGGATTCTTTTCTTAGATTTCAATTTTAGGAATGATGAAATTCCCCGAATCTTTTTATTCTACTTTTTCAACTTACCTCGTATCCGTATAAATAAAAATTATTTTGCTGTCCAAAAATTCTCAATGGGATAAAAATGGTAACGGCCATCTCGACTCCGTTGCACCCTTAACTTTAAACCACCATGGAGAGTCACATTCCACCATAACAACCCAGTAGCTATTGTCGTCTGAACTAATGGCCAAAGCTTCAAAATCCTCCACTTACAATTCTCTACCTCATCATGAATAACAGTGCCCACATTGACGAAGACATTCTCTCTCTTAACTGCCAAATCAATGTTCAATTTCAGTACACAGGTAGGAGTTGGCTCCTCCTAGTCTTCTACCCTCGCCACCCACTCTTCCAAGCTAGACACTGCCTCCCTTGGTGGTTCTCCAGGGCAAACCCTATTGTGCCATCCCCAAATCGCCCATATCTACTGACCCAATTCCTTCATCATTACGTATATCCACCTCATTTGCACCTCTCTCACAGTTAGCTAAGGGCAGTTGCACCAAATTTGGTGCAACTTCAACACCAAATTTGGTGTAACCTCTCCATTCATCACAATCTCAACCAAACTAATTATTATTTTACATTATCTTCTATAAAATAGCATACTATACCTTCATTTTCTCTTACCATTAACTCTCTCCAAATCTTCACTTCACAAGAAATAATTAATCTTACCTCCATTTTTCTCCAAAATCTCCTCCCATATGGGTTTAAATCATCGAAGTTCTTCATACACAAATGAAGAAGACTTGCACTTGTGTCATGTATATCTTGATATTTCACAAAATTTGATAGGTATAAACCAATCAAAAGATCAATTCTGGTCTCGAGTTGAGAATAAATATAACAACATGAAGCCAGCCTCTATCAATCAATCTCGATCTAAAAGATCTTTGCAGGCTCGAATGCGAGTTATTCTCAATGCAGTGGACAAACTGAGGGGATGTGTTCGACAAGTTGAAAATTTTAATTCAAGTGGGGCTTCAGAACAAGATATTGTGAGTATTATATGTAATTCTGTTTTTATTGTAACATAACATTTCTGAATTTTAACATTATATTTACATCATTTTGCAGTTATATCGAGCCAAAACATTGTTAACACATGATAAAAATTACAAGAAGGGGTTCAAATTTGATCATGTTTGGCCTATCCTTAAAGATATTGAAAAATTTCGACATGACGTTCATGCAGCAACATCAGTCTTCCAAGTGCGATATGGTAATTTTGCATCATCACCTTCAGAATCTCCCACTTCAGTATCTCCGAGATTATCTTCATTTAGTCTTATTATAAACGAAGAAAATGTAGTTGGTACTTCAACTGAACGACCTAGTGGTGCGAAGAAAGCAAAGTTAGAAATGAAAAATGATGAAGAAAGTCAAAAAATTATTGAAACCATCAAAGATGAAAATCAACAACTCGTTGAAATTTTCAAAAAAGGAAGTGATGATAGACAACAAATTTTTGAAATTCAAATGCTAAGAGCTCAAAATGAGTCAAAAAAATTGATCTTAATAGAATATCAAGAAGAAAATAAAATTTTACTAAAAGATTTGAATTCCATATTAGATCCAACTCTACGTGAGTTTTTTCGAAACGAACAAACAAGAATTTTGCAAAAGAGAGTTCAACAATAAGGTCGAGGATCTCAATGTACATTTGATTCTTTTGGGTGAATTTTTAACGGTCTTGGAGGAACTGCAAATGACCTTCTGAAGTATTAAATTATTGTTTTAGTTTAATATTGTATGTATTTAGAGTAATGCTATTCATCCCCAGACTGTGTTTTCATCTTTCATTTCACCTATCATTTACAGCCATCCAAATTGTGTTTTCATCCCCACTGGGGATGAATAATATTACTCATGTATTTAAGATGTTTATGTTGCCGTTCTAGTGCTATTTTTGTTTTTTATTTCTAATTATCAAATTTTTAATGAACAATTTTAATTTGTTGTATCAATACTTATTACTTTATTAGAATTTAAAAATAAACGTTAAATAAAAATAAACATCACATTTAAATAATTATAAATAAATTCAAATCAATTAATTCTAAAAAGATAAAATATAAAAATATAGAAGGAACAACAACTACTTGTAATAGAAAACAGAAGGCAAAATGAGAATAATGAATTACACAAGGAATGTAAAATAAAAAAGTGATCGTGTCACTTTTTACAAACTCAAAAAAAGTGACAAAATAAAAAAAAAAAAAGCGACACCCACTTAAAAAGTAACACAAACTCAAAAAAAGTGATACAAACTCAAAAAAAGTGACATACCAAAATATCATTGTCTATTTGTACAGCACCAGTAATCAAGTATGTGATCGATAAAAAAGTGACATACTAAAAAATGACAAAAATTTAAAAAAGCGACGAAAATTTTAAAAAGTGACAAAAATTAAAAAAGTTACAGATTCAAAAAAGAAAAAAAAGTGAACACCCTTTTACAACCATGTTGTGGAGTATGTCCTCGATCTTATAATACCCTACAAATTGGAAGTGAAAAAAATTCAAAAAAGTGAAAAAAGAAAAAAGGCTAAAAAATGTAACAAAAAATATTAACACAAAGGGACCAATCCAAATATGAAAATGCATATACTGGAACTTCAACATGATCTAGAAACTCAATACATTGCAAAGATTCAGACAGCACTTCCATTGAGACCAAGATATATTCATTAGAAGAAACAAATAAAAAGGTTTTGAGAGCAATTCTATTCTTTTTCTTTTTCTTCTTTGGAAAAGATAATGTTTTCAAACATAAAACTGCTATTTTTTTTTTGCAGGAATCAAATGACAAACGTAGTAGTATCTACTTCAGTTGAAAAGAAGAACGGAGAGGAATCTAGTCCTCAAAACCTCGAGGGCTCTACTGAGAAAGCTAATGGCTCACAAGCTAATGACTTCAACATTGGTGCTAGTGGAAAGAAATTAAATATTCATTATAAACTTTCAAAAACTTATGTTTGCAATTCAAATATTTGTTTCAAAATTATATTCTATCTTGTCAAAGATTTAGACCGAGAAATAATTATTGGAACTCCTTTTATTGTTCAAATTTATCATTTTCAAGCTAATTCAAAAGAATTAACTACAAATATTTTCGGTCAAGAAATTACTTTCAAATTCACTAATCCTCCTCTTTTAGAAATGTTAATTCTTTGAAATAAGCCTCAATTCCAAAAATAATTAATAATATTAATTTCAAAGAAAAAAGATATCTAATTCTTAAAAGAAGAGATAATATTTTCAAGGATAGAGAGACAGTTGAAAGATTTTTCTTTTTTTTTTTCAAAAGCAAATCTCTTTTGTAAAAGCATATGGAAGAAGAAATATGATCTACTATTCCAAAAGCATGTTGTGTCCCTACCATATACTTAAGATTTTCAAGAATTTCAAATACCAACAAAATCTCGTCATATTCAAATGAATAAAGAATTACTTGATCACTGTATCAAAGAAATCAATGATTTATTAGATAAGAAACTTATCCGTCCAAGTAAATTACCTTTGAGTTGTTCGACATTTTATGTCAACAATTCAACTGGAATTGAACAAGGAGTCCCTCGTTTGGTTATCAATTATAAACATTTTAACAAAGCACTTCAATGGATTAGATATCTATTACCTCAAAAGAAAGATAATATTAAATAGGTTATACAAAGCGATTATTTTTTCTAAATTTGATATGAAATCAGGTTTCTGGCAGATTCAAATTAAAGAAGAGAATCGCTATAAAACTACATTTAATGTTCCATTTGGGCAATATAAATGGAATGTTATGCCATTTGGTCTAAAAAATACTCGATCTGAATTTTAAAAAATCATGAATGATATTTTTATTCCTTATTCAAATTTCATTATTGTTTACATAGATGATGTTCTAATATTTTCTGAAAGTTTAGAACAACATTTCAGACATTTAAATACATTCATTCATGTCATCAAAAATAATGGATTAACAGTTTCTGCTAAAAAGTTGTTTTATGTCAAACAAGTATTAGATTCTTAGGACATATCATTTATCTAGGAACCATTACACCAATTCAAAGAAGTCTCGATTTCACACACAAACTTTCTAATAAAATAATAGATAAAAATAGTCTTCAAAGATATATATTTCTTCATCATCATCTCGATTAGTAAATTTTGTAGCCTCATCGGTTTTATATGAATTTTTCCATTTGCTAATTGAATATGATTTTTCTACTGAAAATATTGTATAACTCTTTCTCATCTCATAGACATCCCAACCTTTTTATGTCTTGAGATGCTTTTGATAGTGATAAAAAATGGTTCCCAACTGAAAATAGGATCCCCAAATCCTTGTATATTGGACGACGTAATGGAAATCTTGAGCTTACTAGTTTGGACAATTCTAAACCTAATTCACAAGAACTGAAAGGGAGAGGACTATTCCTCCCATCTCCCTTTTTTATGATATGGCTACAATCACAAGCAAAGTGATTTAATGAGTGGAGCCCTCGAAAGTACATGCCTGATAAGTATGTAGCTCAAGAGATAGTTTAAAAATGAGTTCGATTCAGAAAAATAACTCGTGAAATCATTGATGAGTTGCAATCGCATTTGATGGCTAATACGAGAATGAATAAAATGCCCTTAAAGTTACCTGCAAAGACCGGTCGTGGCAAAAGCAAATTTATTGAAGAATTTGTTGACCATGGGTGAATGACAAGGGGTCATTGAAGGTGTCATTTAGGGAAAAGTAGATGTTTTAATAATTTTTAAAATATATCTTATAAAATATGTGATTTAAAAAAAAATTGTTAACATTGATTTTAACTCCCCAAAGAAACAGACAGTCTATTTTAAACAATAGAGCAATCTCAAGAGTTTTCTTTATTTTTAAAAGTTTCAACAGTTCAGCTTTAGGTCCATTGAACTGTACATAAGAAATAAAACGATGATTGAAAATCATAGATGATCAATTTGATGCAGACAGAAGTCAAAGGAGTGAAATATAATCAAAGTATTCTCACAAATCAATTTCCAACAAAAAATGTTATACTCCAAATTTTTTGCCTCAAATTAAGACCCATTTTTTGCATAGTAAACTTTCGAATTGGAAATTTTTTTTATCTCTATAATAATTGTATCCCTTGAGTTAGCAAAACATATCTACTTTGAATCACATCAATCGAATATTTGAAAATAAAGTTACAAATGGTCAGCTATGAAATTCAAATGGCATGTGCGCCATCCATGCCTATGCGCAAGAAGTCTTTTCTCCAAACCCGAGACAAACTTAATGAACTAAGGGCACGCATGGAAATATACTACGCCTCTATTAGACGAGCCAAATTTTCCTTTTTCGATCAGAACTCATTCGGAGCTCAAATTGGACGAGATTTTAATTTTCAACCTTATAAATAGAGAATGTAGGTTAAACATTGGGAAACTCTCTCTAACCTCTTATAAAATTGTGGTCGATAATTATTGTATTACATTAAAAAATTAATAAGATCAGACTAAAGTCAACGGGCTTTTTCTATATCCGAGGTTTGATCAGTCAAATTATTGAATCTACCGCATGGTACATCTTATGAATCTAATATCCTTCTAAGTGAAATTGAGTGCCTATGAAATGTAACAATTTAGAATAAAAAATGTATACTTTCCACATTCTCCATAAGTGGTAGCTGAATCCTAAATGCTAACTCTTGAATTATTGGATATATAGCAGATGCCTATTTCGTTGTTCTGAGAAAATTCTGGCATCCGATGTAAGTTCTTAGGGTTATTGCTGTAAATTTTGGAATTCCCCAATTCTGTAAAACTTCTGAATCAACGAGCTTGCAAATGAATTTAATAACAAGGTTTGCATCTCCAACCTAAATACACACACAAAGAGGAAATCTTCTGCAATGTTCTTCATGCACCTTTCGATATTTTTGGAATTGACATCACAGCCCAGCAATGATAAACCTGCTGAAAAAATGACGGATGAAATCATGGAGTAAAAGGATGGTATGTTCATTACTTCATGTCTTGGTTACTTGAAACCATGAAGGATTGGGTATGCATAATCAGAAATATGGAGTTGCTGTAATTCTAGTATAGAAAGAGATATCGGTGGAAGTGGCAATGGCAGGTTGAGGTTCTTTCTATGCTTCTGGATTGATTTGGAAATCCACATATTCTAAATCACCAAAGTCCACAAACAGACTCCGTAGATGTTATCTAGAGAGAGAGATTGTTCATAAAATATAATTTTAGTGTTTCTCAAATTTATTATTTTAATTAGTAAAAGTTTTAAAATACAAAATAAATGACATTTTATTTCGTGAAAATATAATTTTAGTGTTTCTCAAATTTATTATTTTAATTAGTAAAAGTTTTAAAATACAATATAAATGACATTTTATTTCGTGATTTTAATTATAAGTTTGTTTTATAATGATATGATATATAGATTTTTCTTATAATGCGGTTTCCTTTGCCATTCTGGTAAATATTTCAAGTTTTCACATTGTTGACCGAGGTTTGTTATCGATTTATCTTGTATTTTATGATAATGAATCAGAAGTCGTCCGATTTCTATTCAAACCGTTCAATTCTATTAGACTTTAATTGCGTCTATTGCATAACGGTCCAACAAGACAGTCTGGATAGATTTGTAAATTCCAAATCGAACATGTCGGTACGATCAAAGTTTTATAACAATTGCACCAAGCATAGTCTAATGGTCTTAAAAGTGATTTTTGCACCCTTCTCACTTGAAAATCAAGAGTTTATTTGGGAGTCAATTTCAAGTGGAAAAATTAGTTTTTTAAAGAATAAAAAGTGATTAAAAAGTAATGAAAAATTATGAGTTCCGTACAGTGTATGACTGAAAATGATTTAAAAAGAATTTCTTTCAATTAAGCTCTAAACATCTGTACTTTATATAAGGAGAAAATGTATGAATCGTTTAGCTCTTTGTAAGAAAGTAAGAGTTGGTTCTTGTCATTTATTCGTCGTAATTAAAATAAAGTGGTCAATAACCTTGCTTTTTGTACTCTTTCTTTCTCTATTATTTTGCCTTTTTCTAATGAGCGATTTATCATTTTATGATCATTTATCTTAGGATTATCTAAGGAGCTGGCTTAGACAAAGAAGCGGGACATAATGGGGAAAGCTCCGCGTACGGGGCTGACCCCCAGTAGGGAGGTGGCATGGTCCCGACATTTTATTGTCACTAATTAGGCTGTGCTCGGTCACTGCATTATGGGCAGTTGTCAAAAAATCATTAGATAGATGGCATTTTAGGGTCAACATGATTTGACGGGATTATTTTTACTGTCATTATATCTTAGTCACTATTTGACAAAAGTTTTTTGAGATTATAAGTTATCGAGTTCAATGATGTGTATGATTAAAAATAGATAAAAATTGTGAATTCAGTGAAATGTACGATTAAAAATGAAATTTCACCGATTTATTATCTCTAAACAATTTATCAAACAAGGGTAGGGATGGCAACACGTCGGGTCAGGATCTAGACAGCCACCATCCCGTTAAACATTTTTTGTCTCATTGTCACTAGGGCGGATCCATCAAGGGCTCAGTGGGGGCAGTTACAAACAAAAAACAGAGCAGCAAACCCATGACCCAGATCCCACTGGCCATTAAATTTTTGCCTTAAAAAAAATAATAATAAAGAACAGCCCACCCATGACCCAATTACCGAAGCCCACCATGGAGAAATATATATGCTTAAAAGAAGCCCACACTTTCGGCTAGCTGTGTCAACGAGTCGAGCCGAGCCGAGAAAAAAAAGCTCGGGCTCGAGTCGAGCTTTTTTAGGCCAAGCTTTTTTGGGCCCGAGTCGAGCTGAGCTACGCTCGGCCAAAAAAAATGAGGCTCGGCCCGAGCTTTCAGTCCGAGCCTTAGCGGGCCAAGCTGAACCATGACTGAGCCTTTTGGGTTTTTTTTTTTTTTAATGTCAAATCTATATTTTTGCTTGAAAAATTCAAAATTTATATTGTTAATGAGTACTATAAATTAAATAAAAAAGCTCGGGCTCGGCTCGAGCCTTTTGGGACCGAGCTTTTTTTGGCCTGAGCCGAGCCGAGCCGAGCCGAGCCGAACAAAGCCCGGTCAAAAAAATGAGGCTCGGCCCGAGCCTTGGCTCGGTGTAACCGAGCCCGGCTCGAGCTTTTTTCGAGCCTAGCCCGAGCCGCCCGAGCCGACGAGATTTTTTGCCATCCCTACTTCCGGCCCCTTTCTTCCCCTTCCCCGAATTCCCAATACCTACCCTTCCCCCGAATTCCCTTAATCCCTTCCCCTTCCAATTAGCGACTGCTCAACTACAAATCTTTGGTATTATCGGGTTGGTGAAATATTTCAATTAGATGTTATGAGTAAAAAAGTATGCTAGCAGCTAGATGAATAGAGAAATAGCATTGTGGTGCCTTATAGTTATTCAAAATTGTATAAATTACATAACTATGAAGCTTATAGTATCTATTACAACAGTCAACAGTTATTAGACTTGTTATGCTTTATGATTTTGCCAACATGTTTTCAAGTTACTATGTATACTTCTTTGCCGACCTATTTTCAAGTTAGTGGATCCTCATTAGTTTTTTCTTCTATGGTAAAGGGTGGACACTCCACTTTGTCTGGTAGCGCAATAAAGAGGAAGTGAAAGAAAGAATAGAGGAGAGGAATTGCAGAATTTGGGAGAGACATTTAGAAATAATCTCACATATGTTATGCTATAAAAATCATTATCTTCATCATTCAACAGACTACAGTACTAGTCCTAGGTGAAATTCTTAAGATGACAGAATCTTAAAAAAGTAGCAATTCCTTGTGTAACTTCTTGGCTGCTTCACTAGTATATTTATGCATTCTTTGGCTGATTTGTAGGAAGATATATTGAGATATTTTAACTGAATATCTCAAAATTTTATTGAAGAAAATTTGTCCCGCCCCCCGAACAATAATCCTAGGTCGCTCCTGATTATCATGCCCCCATATCCAATTATGGCAGGACCGCAGGGGGAGGGGGCAAGTCCTGTCCTGTTTACCGCTCCGTTTATTATTTTTAATTTTTCTAATTGATGGAAATCATTTTTTTTCCTAATTTGTAGAACTACTTATATTTTATTTAAAACTTATGACGATTCTTTTTCTTTTTGTGTGATCAAAAATTTATATCTTGAAATGTCCTTCAAGGGGGATGGGTGATGGGGGCGAGAACCATATTCTCGGTACCCATCCCCATCCTGTTACCGCCCAGTTATACCCAATTAGACGAATAATCATCTTCTCGTTTGGAATGAAGCCTTGTAGGTATCGAGTTTAACGATTTCTTTTGTCATTTCTATGCAGGATTGTAATTTTTTGAAAACTTAAACGGGTTGCAACTAATGTAGCCACACCAAATATTAAGCCCGTGTTTGGTTTAACTAAAATAAGTTTTTTAGTAATTTTGATAAAAATTGATAAAATATACGATTGAAAAGTTGATAAAAGTAGTGGTTGAAAATAAGTTTTAAAAAATCAAATTTAAATGGGGTTAAACATGTGCTAAATATGCTTACAATAGAGATCATACAAACATATGTATATATATATATATATATATATATATACACATGAGAGCACTAAAGTTTTTTCAAGATTTAGAGGATAAATGTTTAGCAAAACTTTTGATAAAAATTTAGTATACTTTTATAAAAGTTGATAAAATATATAGTTAAAAAAATAAATCTCATTAAAAATAAAGTTAATAATAAATTTTAACTTTTATGTGAATGTTTGAAAAAAATTTTAAGCTATTACAAATAAATACAAAACAAAGGATGAAGGGTGAGTGCGACTTCCCCAAAAAAATGGACTCATTTTGGGGTTGTTCTCTTCGTATTTGAGTTTTTAGTTTATAGTTTTGAATTCATTTTGAATTTTGTATTTTTAGTGTTCATTTTGAGATTGTTGAAATTGTGTTCTTTTTGTCATTTTGAAAAATTATTTTCGAAAATAAAAAAAATAAAAACTTGTTTTCTCTCTCTCTCTTCATTTCATCACCGTCGTCTCTCCCTCCGGCGCTCTTTGCAATCGCCGACGCACCCAACGCTTCCGGCAATCTCCCTACGAGCAGCGTTCCCTGCGACGCTGCTGTTCTCTATGCTTCTTCTTCTTTTTTTTATTCTATACTAAACATGGTTACACAATTCTAAAGTGCAATCATTTATAAAGTGAAAAATAAATGACATTTTATTTCGTGGTTTTAATTATAAGTTTGTTTTATAATGATATGAATTAATTGCATAATCTAAATTGAATCAAATGATCTAAATTGCATAATCTAAATTGCATAATCTAAATTGAATTAATATAAAATTAAGTTGAAAACATAATCACTCTAATAGATTTTATTGAGTGTTAGGTAAAGTTTTATTTTTCGCAACGTTTATCAAACGTTGCAAAAGAAAAACATTTTGCAACGTTTGTCAAACGTTGCGAAAAAGTTCATTTTTATACAAACCCTAATAATACAACCTCTCTATTTCTCACTCTTTCTCTCCTCTCGTCTCCCTCTCTATCGTCTCCCTCTTTCTCTCCTCAATCACAACTTCCGTCCATACCCATGGAGTTAGACCTGCACCAATCAATGCCCCTTGCTCGGACGACCATAACCATGGTCTCAAGTCGTCTCAATCATCCCTCCAGCTGCACGAATCTTTTCCAAAAAGATGCCCAATCACGACTATCACGAAGCAGATTCCGAAAAATAACGATTCCTCCTCCGTCCGGCTTGTCCATGGTCGCGGGCCACCTAGGCACCCTTCCTCATCCTCTGGCCCACACAACCATACCAGGGACCTATAGCGTTTTATAACCACAACACATATCTCGCTTTTGCTTCGTCTCACTCTTTCTTTAACCGCGGGAGTGAAACCACAGTTATAAAACCTGGCCCGACTCGGATGGTCTACTAGGAAAACCGACGGCCTCGACCCTTGATCGGGCCGGACATATGAATTTAATCGAAATGCACTTGACTCGGTCAAAATCGGGCTTTGATCGAGTTAATCGACGATTTACCCGACCCGATTGACCGGTTTGATTGGATTTTAAAATTCTCTTACAAAATTTTAGGGTTCAAGGGAATTAAACATTGGACCTCTAAGGAAAATAATGGATTTCCTCATCACTTGAGATAAAATGTTTTAATATTACTTATATAGAAATAATTTATATCTATTTAATGAATAATTTATAAGTTTTATAAAAATATCTTCATTCAACTTATACTTTATTTTATAGACTTAAAAATAACTTATATCTATTTAATGAATAATTTATGGGTTTTATATAAAAAAATTCATTCAACCATTTACTTTATTTTATAGACTTGATTAATTAGTGAAAAATAAATTAAAAATTTTAATTTTGCCTCTAAAACAAAATTTATACTTTATATTTTTTTGTAAGTTTTTATGCAATAACCCACTGGTTAAACCACTGGGTCACCGATTGAACCACTAATCAATTGACCCACTGCATTGTCCGGGTCTGTGTTTGGGTCGAGTCTGACAATTATGAGTAAAGCCATGGAGATGCTTTTGGTAATTACCAATCTCAACTTTGCTTAACTTTGTGTATATACATACGAATGCTTATGCGATTTATGTATTCTGATGTTTTCAATATTTGATATGCAGTGAAAATGGCGACTGCTCTGGGGTAGCTGATATTGGAGATTGTGAAGAAGAACAATTCGTTTTTGGTGAAGGAGTCTACGAATGGAACTGTCGGAGTTGTGTTCAGCAAGGAGCCTAACAATCTCCACATCTACAAGCATTCCGGTTACTTCACATGAATCACTTTATTTAGTAGTAAATTTTTGTTCCTTTTTTCAAAGCTGGTATTTTTTTTTTTTTGGTCAGTTTCAAATTTGGATTTTTATGCACTTGTGTTGATCAAGATGTTTTGTTGGCTCTCAGATGGGCAAAATGAGTCTTTCGTGAATAGTTTGGGCTATATTTGTTAAGACATCTTCGTTATTATTGCTTTCAGAATTTTTTGTGGTAGATCTACTAACTTTTCAGATTGTTGCTTGCTAGAGAACTAAATCTTTCGCTTTATTCAAAGATTTTGGATCCATCTTTTCTACTTTGTTACCTGGCACAAGGGCAAAATTGGAACCTCCTGAAGGATACAGTTTCCTTGATGGTCTGGAGGTTCGTGTTGCATTTCTAGGTGTTTGGAAATAGTCCTTCTCAGAACTTAGTGGAGGGCAAAGATCTGTGCTTGCACACTCTCTAATCTTGGCATTGCTTCTCTTCAAACCAGTTCCATTTCATATATTGGATGAGGTACTTTAAATATCTATTTTCATTTTGTTATTTTGTTCTTCCTTACGCATGGTTGAATTCGTAACTCAATTATATTTTTTTGTTCCTAGTAAGATTATTATTCACTCTTGCCATAAGTAACAAAAAATGTCTTTGAACTTCATTTTCAATTCTTGCATTTTTTATATGTACTTGTGAAGTATAATTGGTATTCAGTACATTAACTTATGGTGAACTTGAAATTGTGCTTTTACTTTGCACCTTGAATTTAGTAATAGTAAATATCAAGCTATGATTGCTTGATCAGTTATTTAGTGTAAGATCACAGGATTATGATTTATTCACTTAATTAAAATAGAGACGCTGCAATCTTTAGATTGCTTGATCAGTTATTTAGTGCAGGATCACATGATTATGATTTATTCACTTAACTAAAATAGAGACGCTTCAATCTTTCTACCTCTAATTGGAATTCTACTCCATTGTATGTTGTTATTCAACATAAAAATCTATTGAAACTATTGTTTGATATGCCTAATAAATTCCAAAATTTCACATTCTTCACATTCTTAACTGCATGTACAACTTATTTCGTTTGGTAAGGAGAATCAGGAAGAGAAGAATGCTGCTGAAGAACGTGTTGCATCCGTGAAAGCATCTGGAAATAAGAAAGAGAGTAATTTGTGTTTTCCGTTTATAATCAAGTTTTTCCCTTCCCATTTTATTTCATTTTAAAGCTTCTTTTTATTTAAGTGGTGTTATATCCCATTCTAATGTTCAAGTGTTTTGATTAAAAAATTTGTAATGAAATAGATTGCTTGATCAGTTATTTAGTGTAGGATCACATGATTATGATTTATTCATTTAACTAAAATAGAGACGCTTCAATCTTTCTACCTCTAATTGGAATTCTACTCCATTGTATGTCGTTATTCAACATAAATATCTATTGAAACTATTGTTTGATATGCCTAATAAATTCCAAAATTTCACATTCTTCACATTCTTAACTGCATGCACAACTTATTTCGTTTGGTAAGGAGAATCAGGAAGAGAAGAATTCTGCTGAAGAACGTGTTGCATCCGTGAAAGCATCTGGAAATAAGAAATAGAGTAATTTGTGTTTTCCGTTTATAATCAAGTTTTTCCCTTCCCATTTTATTTCATTTTAAAGCTTCTTTTTATTTAAGTGGTGTTATATCCCATTCTAATGTTCAAGTGTATTGATTAAAAAATTTGTAATACCTTTTTATTTAAGTGGTGTTGTATCACATTCTAATTTTCAAGTGTATGGATTGAAAAATTTGTAATGAAATTATCAATTTTTATGCAATTCCAAAATTTGTTCATAAGTTATATTTTCAATTTTGCTAATCCATTTGCATAAATTGTTGTTGTTAAAAAAAAAAAAAAACCCTACAGAAACGTTTGGTAAACGTTCGCAACTTTTGCAAAACGTTGCTGTGCATAGATACGGCAACGATTGTCAAACGTTGTCATAGGCTGTCTTTCGCAACATTTGCTCTCTACGACAACATTTTTTAAATGTTTCCGAAGACTTTCGGCAACGTTCAAAAAATATTGCCGTATCTCTCTATTTTATGACAACGCCTCGATTTGCAACACACATCCAAATGTTGCCTAGGCCTATGACAACGTTTTTTGGCTTTTTTTTTGTTGTAGTGTCAATTGTCTAGAACTTATTTGTATGGAAATTATTAATTAAATGTGTTTGATTAATTTAGTTTTTAATCTAGAAAATATTATAGATGTCTATTTTTTATTGATTAGTAGATGTGAGATGGTGGATATATAAGAGAAAAAAAGAGTGAGTTAACTGGAAAATAAAAATCACTCTCTTTGAAAAAAATATTTTCCTTATTTTCAAGGAAAATATAGCCACATGACCAAAAGTGAAAAAATATTTCCGTGATATTACTGCAGTTTTCAGGGCTTAGTAGGAAAATTTGTACACACGGGCCTCAGATTGTAGATTTATAGAATCTTTAGGGCTTAATATATTTCTACAGTTTTCATTCTTTTGTTTATTTTTTTACTATAATAATTAAAATTTTTATTATTCTATATTCTTGTAACAATTACTATCTTCAATTTATTGGCACTCCATTAACTTTCAAGATCTTTAAAAAAGGTTCTTGACTGCCAGTTCTGTAGTCCAGGAAGTAAAAAAATGGTCCAATGACGTGGCCAACAAATGATGAACAGTTAGAGACAAGAATCCATGTGAGATTAGAATCCAATATGCCTATATTTCAGATCACATGTCTTTCAAACCCTTCAATGAAGGAAATGGTCCAAGGCATTTAATAAATTGCTATAATAATTGTTTGTTTTCGGATAAGAGGGTCGACTGTTAAGCTCTATAGAGAGAATTGAAATTTTTCTTTAGATATGGAAACTTCCATCTTCCTCAAATGGCGCTAAGTGTGTGTATTTATACCCAATGCCAGGTGAATGAGGTCCGTTGGATGATAATGCACGCAGTTCTGTTAGATTCGTTAGTTTTTATAAATATCAATCAATCAATCAGGCTATCAATGCTGAGATCTCTCATATCTTTACAGGTAGGCTAAGGATTTGACTGCGTAGGCATGCAGAGGCCGCGTGGCGGTGTGTTCTCTTGTCGGTCACTTTACGAGACCTGTTGTTGGTTGGCCACTCACCTCGTCATGGACGGTTTCGCGTCAACGGGTATGCTAAAAAAGGATCGATTGTCCTGTTTTCAAGTTGGGTTCACCTTAAGTTAGGTTCACCTCGGTGCATGTATAATTGGTTCGTCCATCTTGTTATGTCATGTGTGTGGGCTCGTTGGTTCGTCTATTGGCAACGTGGGACATTATTTTTATATCTGTAACATTAATCTCCGAAGTTCAGGTATGATTATTTATATCATGCATGGACTTTCAAAGGTCTATAAATGACGGGGGCAACTTTTTCATCCGAACTTGTTGATACACGAGAGCGAAGCTTCTCTATGTACAGATGAGTCACATGAAACGAGGCTTCCCTGTATGTTGACGAACCGTATGAGGCGAGGCCCAAGCATGTATTCTGTTCCCTTAGGTGAGATGAGGCAGCTTGAGTGAATTATCGAGCCCTGATTCATAATTAGAGCCTCTTGTTGGCCCATACCGGTAACTTGGCAAACTTTAGTTTCCAATGAAGGACACCTGGATACTCTGGTCTTTTGTAAGGTTCGAGTAACATGCGCATTTAATGCGTAATGATGTTGATAATACCCTTCCACCCAGGCATACGCCAATTTGAGGCGCATTTATGGCACGACTTTATCTAAGCCTTTGATTCAGTTTTTAATAGGCGTCTTTTGGTTTCAACGTATGTGATGAGGTTACGGGTGGAAGGCTCAGATTAAATCAAAGCAATATCCAATGGTGGGGGTTCGTTAGGTAAGTCTATATAAAAGGCAAGGAGACCACTTTTTTA